AACTCATGTCTCCTGCTCTAGATAAAAACACCTTGTATATTATGACTTCAAAATGAAAAAGAGAACCTACCTCCCTACTTCTTACATGCCAAACTTGTTGGACATCTAGATATCCCTCTGGAAAACTACCTTTTCCAGTTCGACACACTAACGACAGGTATTGTAAGAAGTTCAGCAAGACTTTAAAACAGCATTTCAGTTTGAAAGACAAAAAGTTTTGAAAATCCAAGATTTAAAACACTATCAATTGATTTTGCTGAAGTCACAAAGTAAATAATGAACACATGCAGAACCTGTATCCAAAAACTAAAAAGATGGAACAAAATGGGACAAACCTAAGCTGAGGCAAAGTTTCTCGTGAAGCATTCAATTCTAAAAAAAACTCTAATCGTGTTCTCAACTCTGGTGGTATATTAACATTACAAGAAATCATTATCTGGATCTCAAGAGTTCAAGTCAATTTGCTCAAAATAAGTTTAATTATACAGAGGTTTATCACAACAAACAGCAATTCACTCCCCTCATTTTCTCACAGCACTGAACTAACAGCATGTAAGCCCGTTTATCTCATCTTAGGTTAGAAATTCCAAACTCCACTTTCAAACCACAGGAGAGACCTGGAGTCAGTCCTTCAAATTATTATTATAAAGAGGATAACTTTCCAAAAGCATCAATACCTTGGTGTTCAAGTACCATCAATGTTTTAATACCAGAGAAATGCCTGCTCGATACATTTAATAAAACACTTACATAGAGGAAAGGACTCCTCATTTGCCTCACTGATGGTTTTACAGTAATTTCAGACAGTTCAGGAAGATAAATAAACATTTGAGAGGCTATACTTGGAATGTAAGAATTCAGGAACCTCAGTACAAGTAAAGATGAATGAAATGACACAAAACCCTGCAAATTTGAACAGTTTTTATGCTTGAGCATTAGCTGTTTTATATTTCTCAGCCATCAGTTACTCATTGGTTTTGCTAAGCAGGAAGTTTTTCTATATCTGCTTATACTTACATTTATTATAAAATTAATTTAAAATCACTGTTTTCTCTGTTAGGAGCACAATGAAACAGTCATAAAGTTTCAGTCTATTTTTCATTCTCTGAAGATCAACAACCTTGTGACATGCTACATTAAGTCTCACAAACATACTTTTGTTAGCAAACAGCTTAAGCAGCCTACCAGAACTACCTACCCACTCAGTAAGCAACAAAGAACTTCAAAAAGAAAAAAAAAATACTTTATATAGCAGTAGACTCACATTAATAAAAATAGCTGTTTAGTAAAAGAAATAATTTCCTCTCAATTTTATTCAGATTACTATTTATCAGCTGAAGAACCTGGTTCTAAAACAAAAATAATTTTAATGCAGAAACAACAGCTTGTTAAGGAACTTTCACTTGAGTTTTGGTAACCTGAACAGAAATGTTCCTTCAGAAAATTCCAGAGTAAGCAAAATTTCAGAGTAACACAAATCTGAACTTTAAGTGTAATTTTGTCTCATAAAAGCCCATCTTCTCCTACTCTAAATCAAGTTTTTAGGTATAAAACTTGCATGAGATGAAGTAAATTAAAGAATAGATGAAGAGTTACTTTAATCTAAGGATCATTTAAGTGTTGATTATATAAATTTGAATGAAAAATGGGATTAACCTCCAGATTCCATGTAAATATGTTTTTTCAGATCCTACCAAAGTTATACTGGAAAAATACAGTTTCTTAAATATTTTCCATACAAACTTCTAAAGAAATTATAGGATATAGCACTAACCTCTCAATGAAAATACAGAAACAAGACATTTGGAAACACATTTTTTAAGAACCTTTAATAATACCAGACTGAATACTGGATTTGGACACTTATGGTTTATGTTAAATCCTATCAAACACTTACTTATGTGCCTACAGCACTTTTCTAAGGCTTATGGTGATAAGATTACTTCATATTTTTGTAAGAACAGTTAGAAGGAACAGATGCACCTCTGCACTTACATTTATCACACAAAGCTGCTACTGTATTATGAATACAACAGCATATTGCACTGGAAAAACATGCTACTAACTGACATTTCATTACATACTTTTAACTTGAGACTAAGATATTATTACAAGACTGCATTAACTTTTGCTGTATTCCTTGCCTTGTCTTGATCCACTATATTTAGTTGCATAATACAAAAAGGATGCTTATAAATAATGTAATTGATTTAACATATTAAATGTTTTGGTGGTTTACTATTAAATGTTTTGGTGGTTTACTATTAAATGTTTTGGTGGTTTACTATTAAATGTTTTGGTGGTTTACTATTAAATGTTTTGGTGGTTTACTATTAAATGTTTTGGTGGTTTACTATTAAATGTTTTGGTGGTTTACTATTAAATGTTTTGGTGGTTTACTATTAAATGTTTTGGTGGTTTACTATTAAATGTTTTGGTGGTTTACTATTAAATGTTTTGGTGGTTTACTATTAAATGTTTTGGTTGTTTACTATTAAATGTTTTGGTGGTTTACTATTAAATGTTTTGGTGGTTTACTATTAAATGTTTTGGTGGTTTACTATTAAATGTTTTGGTGGTTTACTATTAAATGTTTTGGTGGTTTATTTAGAAGTGAGATGCCATAATATTTTCCTTTCCATGTAAGAATGAGAACAACTGTTATTTGCCTTAGATACTGTAAACACTGCAGAGTAAAAAGGAAATGAAAGAAACTGAAAAATGTCAAGTAGCCATGAAACTGCAAACTACACATACTGAAAAAGCCATAAGATTCAGAACAGTCAAGTCCAGTGTTACTACATTAGGACAGAAAGATGCAAACTGAACTAGTTCTTGTCAATTCAGCATAAACAGAAGAATTTTATTACCGCTTCCTACTTGTAGACATACTTTTCTTCTGTTTATATAACATTCCAGAACACCCTCACTCTTTGAAAAACAAGCAGAAAAATAACTTTATTAAAATAATGAAAAAAGCACTCATTAACCCTACCCCTATATGAACTCTAAATACTGAAAAAAAATGTGTACTAGAATTAACCAAGAAACTCCTCATATTCTATTCCTTTAAATGTAAAGGCAGAGATCTGGTACAATTTATTGATTTATTTAAATAACTACCAAATTCTTGCAAAGTATGGAAGTTCAAACTGTCCAAACAGAAATCAATATTAAAAGAAGCCTTATTTTTTGAAGTGGAAAACCTGCATAATTAATCAGGCTTTTTCACAAAGGGAGGTCACTTTTGGAATGCTAGACCTTGTGCTCCTCAACACTCACTAATGATTTGAAAAGAGGGTTGAATGAGACAACTTAAGCTTACCTTACCACTAATAACAGACAAAAAGGAATGCAAACAGATACCTCATGACGGGCTGAGCACTAATGCAGGAAAAACTTCAGTGTTGAAAAATACAAGTTGGTTTGGGTTTTTTTAAGTAGCAGAGAAAAACAATTTCAATTTAACACAGTGGAAAACTCTATTACCATTCAATAATTCCATAATATGAGTTGGTGATTCCATAAAATCACAGCTTAGAACTCAGCAACAGTTAAGGTGAACCTCACAAGAGGGGAAAAAAACCCAGCATGAAAATGGTTTGAAGCTGGGCTGAGCAGAGTTCAATACAGGATTTGGGTTTTTTTTCCTCATTAATTTCTGCATGGTAGCATGCAACAACCCAGACTGCATTTCTGCTTATCTGGCTTCAGGTTAAGTTCTGCATTTCCCCAGCTGAATCATTCACCTAATCTAGTCTGAATTTTAGCCTAGGGCTATTGAGCTCCATGTCCCCACAAAGCCATACCTGAAGACCACCAAGCCTGTAAAGCAGTTTTAGAAATGCCAGTGTTATGAATATATAGCCAGCAACTTGTTCAATGTATCCTCATGAGATGTGTCTCTAAGGTACTGCACTAGGAACAAATTTCAGTAGTTTGTCTCAAGAACACTCCATTGTTCACTTTTTATTTTTTCACTAGATGCAGAAAAGCATCCTGATTTTGTAACTTATTTTTTTCTGTTTTAATGTTATCTCTGTATCAAAGTGAAGGCAAAATGCCAAGCTATACAAAAAGGGATGAATAATCTAATTGAGATGATTTTTTTTTTAGAGAACCATTACCAAAAGGCAGCACTTTAAACTTAAGAACACGTACTGCTTATTGCAAGGAAGGTCCAATAAGAGGTGAAACCTCCTTATTACATGGAGTACTTATATACACAACACTTTAAGAAGCTTAAGGTAAAAAGTCACATCTACTTAGAAATCTATTTTAATTTGTATTCCTTCAACACCTGTACAACCCAGACTGAGAGATGCATTTTGCTAGCTACTGTAGTTAAATTCTACACCTTGGGACATTGCCTATCTTGTACCTGAAAACATAATGGATGTTTTATGTACTTTCTACCTGACCTAAAGGGCTTGAAGGTCAGCTAGTTTTATAATGAAATTAACTGACTTAATTGAAACACATAAGGAATAGATCAAGAAATAGATCAAGAAAGGTGAACCAAAATGCTGAGTAGTGCCATAAGAGACAAGGAGACAAAAGCCAGTAATCAGACACTAAAAGCAGACAAATGATGAAAGAGAGGAGTCTAAGACCAGAATGATAACCTAGGGATTTGACTTTAAGACTGACAAGCTTAACATCTTGGATAGATAAGAAACAATTCAATAATCAGTGAGAAAGGATGAACAAAACAATGAAAAAAGTCACTCAAACATAATGCAAGCTTTTCTTGTTTCAAGCTAGGCAGAAAGATTCACAGTTGTTAGCCCCCAGTTCTCTAAAGTCTTATCTATGAAGAACAAGCAAATCAATTCCTTTGAACCATATTTAAAGACACAGTTTCAATCTTGCAGCTTTTAGCTGTCGTAAATACCTTCAGTACTTTAATGACTGTACAGGGAAGCTTACAACTCTGCAAGCACCATGTTTGATCTAACAAGGGAGTGAGAAAGGAAAGCAGAAAACAAAAACCAGCATACCTTGTGTTGTTCTATTGCATCTACCCACTGTTGTCTGTGGTCTGGGTCCTGAGCTCGGAGGTACCAAACACTATCATTCACACTGATATCAAATCTGCATTCATCGAAGTCATGAGGCTGTGACAGAAAAGAGTGTAAGAACAGACAAAATTACCAACATGATCGATATTACCTCACAGATTATTTTGAAACTTAAACACTAATTAGAAAATCTAATCTATGTTGTCTTGAATTCATCCTAGATTCTAAATTCCGTTTTAAGAAGCTGTCTCAAATAATGAACATACACTCTCATAATGAAAAATGCTGGTCTTCTGAAATAGAAAAGCCTGTTTAATATATAATTATTAAATAAAATTTTCATAAATAAATTCCACATAGAAATAAGTTTCATCTTTTCAAATGCTTCTAGTCCTTTAGCAAAATACCTACTATACAGAAAAATACACACAGACGTATATATACACACATACACACATTTTAATTTAAAAGCAGGACAAAAAAAGCATAACATTACTGTTATCTGTATTAATTTTAGATGGAATACATACATCATAGCAAAAAGGTACCAGGATAGAACTATAAAAGTAGACCATAGCTAAACAGCAAGTCAGAGCAGGAACTTAAGGAAGCTGTGACATCCTCTGCCTCAACTGTTTTCACCAGGTATATTTCACAGATAAATGGGAGCCATGTGCAATCTTTTAAAAGTTCTCCACTCAACTGCATCTAACTTACAGTTCACGTGCCTTAAATGCTAATAAGCTTTTACCAGCATTATAATGAAGCTGGTGAGAAAAGTACAGCAAAACAACACAATGATCTAATCTGCCCTGTGTCCTGACACTGTCAGTTCAAAGTTACTCCTTAGCAAACATTCAGCTGAGCCAAATAGTCCCCACACCCTTCACCCTTGAAAATTATTCTTAGAGAAACATAACACAGATATTTCTAAATACCTTTTTGAATTTGAATGCAAATTAAAAGTAACTGTAGGAGGCTAACAGGCTCCAGGATTAAGGCTAGTGACGCGATCTAAAGGACCACAAATATTGCTACCAGATGCTAAAGACAAGTCTACACATGTAGGTAATATCCTTTACAACACATGAACCCCTCTGCCAATATGTTCATCTTGCAGACTAAAGCGCTCATGATACACTCCACAAAAGAAAACCTAAAAACAAGTCTCATTTGTTGTGCACACCACTCCAGTGCTAGTGAGAATTTTTTTCAAAGAATTTGGAAATCAGAAGCTAGTTACACATTAAAGTATCTTTCTTTTTCTAAATATACTAAGGAAGGAGAAAAGCAGAACAGAATTCAAACTACAAAATTAAAAAAATGAGGTAGAAAGTTTAACAAAGTACATTAAGCTTCTTTTTTTTTTTTTTTTTTTTTAAGGCTTCACATATTTGGTCAAGCATCTGAACCTAAGTTCAATTTAAAGAAATTTAAACTTTCCATGGGAAAAATCTCCAGCAACTGAAAAAACTGACAATCAAGTCAAACAACTGCAGCTACTAATTACCTAATACCTGCCCATTTCAAGTTAATACAATTCAAACAACTTTAAAAACTGGCTCTATACACCACTTTGGCTTCACTGAATCAGATAACAGGCATGTGAGAAGGGACATGTGATGGTTTGACCCTGGCTCAGTGCCAGGTTCCACCAAAGCCTGTCGGTCTCCTCCTCAGCTGGACAGGGAAGAGAGGTCACTTGGTTTGTTCAGCATGGAGGAGGCTGAGAGGAGACCCCATCACAGTCTACAACTTCCTCGTGAGGGGAAGCGGAAAGGGCAGGCATTGATCTCTTCACCCTCATGACCAGTGCTGGACTTGAGGCATGAGGCTGAGTCGAGGGGGGGGAGGTTTAGGTTGGATATTAGGAAAAAGTTTTTATTCAGAGGGTGGTTGGGTGGAACAGGCTCCCCAAGGAAATGGTCACAGCACCAAGCCTGACAGAGTTCAAGAAGTGTTTGGACAATGCTTTCAGGCACATGGTGTCACTCTTAGGGTGTCCTGTGTAGGGCCAGGAGTTGGACGTGATGATCCTGATGAGTCCCTTCCAATTCAGCACATTCTATAAATCAGGTCTAGGGTTATATTCAGCTCACTGTACAGTTACCATGTTACAAAAAACCCAGCTGATCAGGTGGTCCTATTAGACCAACTTGCTTAAAGATAAGAAATAACCACCTACAATGGTACGCTTTAAAAGGAAGTTAGGCAGGTGATACATGATTTGCTTTTGACAGATGCATGTTACCTATTTAACATCCCACAGTACTTATTAATTGCCTATTTTCCATATTTTTGGAAACTGAAATCGAACTCATTGCTGCTTCTTCTTTTCCTTTGGGTTTTGTTTTTTTTTTTTGAAGTCATGCTTCATTGTAGGAACCCTGTATTAACTGAACATGAAAGACAAATAAAACACCTGATCCACATGTGACCTGTTCTTTTCTTAACACAGAGCAAATCAGGTTGTTGTCGATTATCCCTTTTCTCAATTAGTAAGAGTTCACATTTCATTTTCATTGATAACTTGGCAGACTTCTGTATGTAACCTTTTGGTATCATCTGTTACATTCCCTTCCCCACTGAGCCACTGAGCTATAGACAAACTTCCTTGGTTTGCCTCCTGCTATAAATGCTTTTATTGTTGTCTGTAGCTGCATCTAGCAGAGACCACCAAGTGTCATTCACAACTTCTCAGATCTGTCCATTTTCCTTCTAACATCCTCCTCAGATGAGTTTGACCCTCTCCTTTACACCTGCTGGAAGCTTTTCCATTTCTCTTCACCTTCTTCCTGTAGACCTCAACTCACTACATTTTCATTTCATGTTGCTTTTTCCCACTCTGCAGCAGTTTCAAGCAGCATACATAAATAGAGAGGGCACTGGGCAATAAACCCCAGACCAATAAGACACTGAATGGGAGAACCAGAAAACACTTATAGCATTTTCCAAGCTGCTTTTGGACAGACTTGTCTGTGGCAGAGGCAATCGCTGTGTGCACCAAGAGCTCCTTCTAGAGCCAGCATTAAAAAAACCCACAAAACCACCAAACCAAAAAAAAACCCCAAACCCAACCAAAACTCAGCTAAATCATAATTCTGTGCAAGAATATGCTGCAAGAAAGAGGACTCCAGCATCCCCAAACACCCTTTTGGTATGCCTTGTAATCTTTCTTCCAAGGCATCCACAGAGAATCCTGCAGAAACAAAGGCAATTGCAAACATTCAAGTGTCCCAGATCCTTCCGTCCAAAACCAAAGGATAGCAGCTCTTAAATTCTAAACCAGCAAGAACAGTTTACATGAAGAAACACTTACTTGGCTACAGTTACTGAGGAAGTCAGTAGCCAGCTCAGGTCTCATGAGTCATAGCTGACTGCATTGCCACATAATCCTTCCTGCTATGCAGCTGTAAAGCCTGATGCATTCATGAAACAAACTTCAGAGCAGTATCTGCTTGAAAAACACTGGTTTGGGTGCTTAAGGCAAATCACACAGGAAAGTCTTAAGTGTTTTTATATACTTCATAACATGGAAGAGTACTCCATGGGAGGGAAAAAAGAAAAACACCTTGAATGAAGGAACTTTCACTTGCTCTTTCACTACTCCAAGTGGTATTAAAGGCATTTCTTGTTTTCCCTACAGAGGAAAGGCAGGGTGGTTCACAGCAGATACAACTCAAGCCTGCATATTACAATTATTAAAGTGGGCTTCTGCCATTATTCCCATTGCAGAACTAAAACTTACCTAAGCTAACATTATTTTAAATTTTTGAAGGTTTTTTTGTATTAAGAAAATACTGAGTGTGGAACTAGGACACAAGACAAACAATAGAGGCCTACAGAAAATAAGAACTACCATTCTTTATTCTCTCTCAGATGTGAATGCCTAGCTAGATGATAGTCTCTGTTGAATTTATGCTAGTGACACAGTTCTCAGTTACTAAAAAGCAGTATCATATAGTGCTATGAATATAATTGCAGTTTACAAATACACTAGTGTTATACATCGCAACATATATTAACTGAGTGAAGACAACCATTGTACCTACCTAGTTTGGCAGTACATAGCTATTTATCCTTGAACTTTTGACATAGCAGCTTTTTGGAGGTTTTTATTTTTTTTTTTGCAATGCCAACAATTAATTCTTTTCATATAGAAGAATAAAAAATTTAGTATAGCTGCACACTGATTTTGCCCACAGCTAAATGTGAAAACCTATTCAGCTGTTGAATACAATTCCTGGATTTCTAGATTCCAGTCATATTTAAGCCAGATTCCATAAAACCTCTAATGCTCATTCTCATTCATCCTGCTAGACCACCACATTATTTACTTTTCTGTGGACTGCATAATCAGAGACATGAAATCTTGAAAGAGAACTACATTCATAAAAGAATAATTTTAAAATGAAGGCAAATATTAAGTACTACTTGTTTTATTCCCTCTAAAAAAAATATTGCAAAATTGTGAGAAATCATTACTTTGGAAAAGGCATTTTGTGAAGTAATACATTTCAGTTTACTTAATTTACTTAAGAGGTTTTACAAAACTCTCTTAAAGGAAAAGCTCGAATGATCTGAACTCCTCTGACAAGGAATAATGATTGTTAGCTCTCAATCATTATCAACGACTTTAGTAGTAGCTTTAAGCTAAAACATGAAACCTGATGTTTCCCCCTGCTTCTCTTAAAGCAACTCAAAACAAGTCGGCAGAACTTCACATTCTTTTTTTCAGGTAGGCTTGAGGAAAGTGTCAGTCAAAAGTTACTTAACTGAAAATTGAGAAAACAAATTTAAGTTTTGGTAATCCAACTTCAGTTTTTCTTCAAAAAATGGCCTACACACGGCCATTATGGCCTTATATCCAAATACCTGAAGCTATTAAAAATACTAATACTCAGTCTTTAAGAAACAAAAAATGCCTTATCTAAGTAAAAATGACTTAAGATTACTCTTCCTACATAAAACATAAAGTGTTTTTTATATTTCACTGATGCAAACGCTGTAGCCCATGCTTACAGACTTACGGGTTTTTTCGTTTGTAGCATGTGCATAGGGACAAACCACTCCCCAATCACTTCTCTTCCACTTAA